GTTTTGAATATAACATGAAATATTATAAAATATGTCACTGAGTCAGTTCACTAAATGAGAGAAAAGAGGTCCTTTAAGGAAAAAGGTTGGGAACCATCGATGTGTGTACAGCTTAATAAAGCTTCTACTGCACCAACTTTAATGCTCGTAACTCTCATCCCATCTGCATGAGGAGCTTCCTGTTGAGTTCATGTTGAAAAAAGTGAACCTGACCTTTAAGGAGAAGTACCTGCTGGTCTGCAGTGGTGTGCCTGCAAAAGTGTCTATACTCTTAATTTATGCCCCCAATTTCTTTGTAAAGTGACCCATCCAACAAAGAATGAACAGCCTGTGTGGTAAACAGTGACATGTAAGACTGGTCCTACTCACCTAGTATCATTCACACAGTGACACTTAACGTTTGCTGCTTGGATCATTAAGAAATTATGCACTTTGAGTGAAGTATCCCTTACTTCTTATTCCATCCAGTCAGAAAAATTAGAGACTTTTGGGGCACTGACTTATGCAGTGGTGGCATAAAGTTTGTCTCAGCTTTCCAGTTATTCCCAATTTATACAATTCCAACACTGTTTATGAACCAGTGAGCAGAAATATTCAAATACACTAAAATAACATTATAAAAAAGAAGGTTTTAGCCCCAAACTGTATGGGATCAGCATAAAGTGGCCATGTTTTTTAAAGGGGAGTCTTGTGGTTACCCATAGAGCCCATTTTCATTCAGATATATTGAGGTCAGAGGTCAAGGTCCATTGCCAAAATGTAGCCTAAGTTTGGAGCGTCATTTAGCCTCCTTCCTGAAATACTAGCATGACGTGGTTGGTACCGATGGATGCGTCAGGTCATCTCCTTTCATATGAAATCTGCCATCCTAGGAAGAAAAACTCAGCTCCAAGAACATCATCATCATCATTCAGTAGAAACGGGTATACTCCATATATCTGCGTATATCCCTGGAACTACACCACTGCTCCAACCTCCACAGCTGAATGCAAAAAGCTGATAAAATGTGGAAAATCATGAAATAATGTGGAACTACACCCCCCCCCAAAAAAGGGGGCCCACAGCTCATTTGAGCCCCGGGGCCACTTGGAGGGTTAATCTGGCCCCGAGCCCAGAGTGAACAGCAGAGACATGGAGCTGATCTGGATGTCTGACAGAGAGGAATGACTCAGCAGCTTCAGAGTTTTATAACATCACATTGATGCATTTCATTTGAGGCTCACAGCAGCGAGGGGCTCTGGACTCTTCAACTCTCTGCAATAAAGATACAGTTTGTGTCTGTTTCTCCGCCGTTTGCCCGACACGCTTCAGTTAAATATCTGTACTTGTGTTACTTTGTCAGCTGATCACATCCTGCTGCGTCACCTTAACTGCAGTTTGAACCTGTAAAACGTTACAGATTGCACTTAAAAGGAGAGAAAAGTCCCCCCATCAAACCCCACACTGATTAACAGGGATGGTTCCTTTTTAGATTTTGATCAGTTAAAACAAAAATAGTTATTTTTATCATTAGAGTCATTCTGGCGCCCCCGAGTGGGCATATATTATACTGCATATCCATCCTCTGCACTTCCTTCCTTAAGCTTTTTATAATCTGCTAAAATAATGTCAAAAACTTTCTGATCTTGTGAAATGATGTTCAGAAATAAAGTCTGTGGTCTGTGTGAGAAAGATTTATAACTGAAGAGAAAACATGCGACAAAGAGGAGAAAAGAGTACTTTTGGGAACATCTGAGTACATTTTTAAAGGGGAAAACTGGCTCTGCCAATATTAATACTTTTATCATGTGAATGTAACTCATTTATTATTTAATTCTCACGACAAATCTGAACAATAACAAACTTCAATCTCTTTCTTCAGAGGCTTTTAAATCATCTCATTTCACAAACTCCAGATCATTGGCTCAGTTGATGTTCTTCGTCTAATTGATTAATCAACTGTTTCATCTGTACTCTTATAAACTACATTTATAAATAAAAATAAATATATTTTTAACAAAACATCATGTATTATTATTTTTGTTTTGTTTTGAATGTAAAAATCTTCCTCAACTATCTCAAACTTGTTTCTTTAGTCAGTGGTTCCCAAACTTTATCCTTTAGGGACCTCTTTTCTATCATTTATTGAACACTCTGCCTCAATGACATATTTTATGGATATTTTTTATTATATCGTGTATAACTGTACAATTAATCCAAACAGTGAACTGCAAGAAGTTTGTGTAAAATTTGTAATTTGGAGTAATTTTGAGCAGATTATTTCCTGTTAAGGGAACTTTCTATACAAAAAAATCTGTCTGTATTATGTTTTTTTTTTTGCATTATTTTTAAAAACCATAGACTTAATATTCTTCTTTTCTTTAAATCAGTGTTTATCCAGGACTCTTGGCCATTATTCTATTAGACAATTTACTTTTCTTCACAGAAGTAAACCAAATGCTGAGATATAAGTCTACTGAGCATATGCTTTAGGTTTTCTTACACAAGTTAAAATCAAGGTCTTTTTGACCCCCTATGAAGCTGGGGCGACCCCTAGTGGGGTCCCAATCCCAAAGTTGGGAACCACTGTCTTCAATAAGTAAGTAGTTTTATGTATAAATCAGTGGAATTTCCCTTTAAACAAGCAGATTCAGCATATTTGGATTTCATTAAGTAAAATTAAAATAAAAACTTTTTTTGAACCTACAGTCCAGACTCAGTCACACACAGACACACAAATACACACATACAAAGACACACTGGAGGAGTTACAACTTTTTTTTTTATGTATAACAGGGGCATGCCAAGTCACAGCATTCTGGTACGTCGCGACAAAATTACAGCAAGACACAATGAAAAACACTTGAATGTATTCACACACTCACACACACACTCACATCCTCACTGTCACACAACCATTCACACATTTTTTTTGTACAGACCAGAATAATTCATAACTTCATATCAGCATTAAGAAGTACCTACAGAGTACAGACACAACAGACCGAGTTCACCGCCGCAGGACGCGTTCACACTGCTCGCCTCAGAGTGTTTCAGTGCTCACGTTTAGCTTCTGAGAGCAGAACCAATCCGACATGAAGCTGCTCTAAAGTGGCGTTTTAACACCCAAAATACATAATACAAGTTTATTTTCAATGTTTAAACTTGGCTGTGAGGTTGTAAAATGCATCTGATAAACCAAATATCACTGATTGAATTTAACTTTAATAAGTTTATAAGTTTACTTGATGATATTTTGATTTAAAAAAGTACAGATTCAGTGTCCTAAACTTGTGATAAAGTCCAAACAGAGTACTGATCTAACACCAGTGCCAGTTCAAGATCTGTACACCTCAACAGCACTGAACTGATTGGGACTATTTAATATTTAATGTGTACAAGACAGTCTAATTACGATCAATCCTTGACTCTAAGTGGAAACTCTGAGTGAATATTTATGACATTAGCTCATCGCAGCAGAACAGAAAACTGTGATTAAGGAAACGTTGTGCGTGAGGGATTTCTGCTGAATGAAGGTGGAACCACTCAGTGCTGTAACAACAGTGACAAATCAACAGTTCCTAATGTCCGACCGACGCCCCATCACCTTTATAATGTCAGTATCGGCGCCAGTGTCGAGCTACTGTATCATGTTGTCCCTATTTTTACACGTTACACTGATCATCAATGCATCAATCAATCAGTGAATCTCCTGAGATCACTGGTGTCAGAATTTGGAGAATTGATGCACCTCACAGCTGCGTTAGTTAAATTACAGCTCAGATGGAGGAAGGTGTTTGTGAATTTGTTGTTTGGAAATCAATGAATCAGATAAAAATGCTAAACTTTTTTTTACAGCTTCTCAAACATTATTAGAAAGTCTTTGGGTTTTAGCCTGTTTGGGGCAGTTTGAATAAGTCACTTGATGGACATTTTCCACCATTTTCTGACCTTTTAAAGGCCAAAGCATTCATCTATATGACCTGACATTGAAACTAATCATTAGTTAGAGCCTGATACTGGTTGCTGATCAGCCCAGACAAGGACTTTTAATTATCACTATGGGGACTCTGAAGGTGCTGCAGCCAAATTTAAAGAGGCTCCTTAAAATACAAACTAAATCCAGAAACTTAATCAGTCCCTCCGGAAAGTCGCGATCGCAACAATTAACATAAATTCTAATTTCATTCCCACTGGAACAAACTTTTCACTTTCTCCTGCAATTTTATTGCACAAAAAAAAACCGTTGCAATTTAAAGAAAAATGCTGCAACGAAATCAGGCATTTTAGGCTGCAGCAATCTCAAATAAAAGCCCTGACTGATTAATGATCCTCACAGTGATCAGTTCTGTGGATGTGAGACATAAAACAAGCATCAATAATATGATCACAGGACCACGGGTAAGATATGGATCAGATTTCTGAATTGAATAGTTAGAAAAACAGATGAAATACTCAGTCTTTTCCTTCCTGGGACTGTGTCTATGTTACATAATGCAGGAACGGGGGGGGGACAACCTGAAGTGGGACGCTTGTAGCCGCAGTGTGAACGCGACCCGACGCAGCTGTCGCTAATTTCATCCTGTAACTTTACAGTTTTTAAAGTCTATATAAAAACCATTTACATTTGTGGTGAATGTCTCGAGTACAAAAAAGGCACTGCCATTTGTTATTCTAAATATGACTTTCCCAGCCTTGTGCATGCAGTTTTAAAATATAAATTACACTTTTTTCAATCTTCTCCTTTTCTTTTTTCTGCATTTTCTTCAATTTTTTGTCTTTTTTGTGTTTTTTTATTATTAAACATACAATATTCTTTTGTCAAATATATACGTAAGCCTGCAGTCAATACAGGACATCGGCTCTTTGATAAAATAAAACTAAATGCAATAAAGGAGCACAGTCAAGCGGCAACACTTTGTTACAGTATGGATGCTGCTGAATTTACAAAATAAAAACAAAAAAAAGAAGTCTTGGCATCCCATAAACAACATAAACTGACTAAACTGCAGAATCTATGACAAAAATAAAAGATACAAAACAGCATATATGTCTTAAAAGTACATTAAATGTTTTTTTTGGAATATCAAGGCGTTATCTAACTGTTAATACTGCAGTGTGCACAGCGTTAGAAGCACTCCTGAACACCCACAGAGCTGATATGCATTTAGAAAAACAAAAACAAAAAAAGAAAAAAGCATTTGGTTTGAAGAGATGTGTAATGATCCAGACCTCAGAGCTGAAACCCTCCAGTGTCCCGTCACAGGTTGGTTCTGAGTTCACGCAGACGTCTCTTTGACCCAGAGATGCTGCAGGAAACCAGGGGTTGAGTAGAAACTGGAGGCCTGTGCTGCTGCTTTGAACTCTTAAATACAAAAACGTGTAACTTTACTCTGTTAATGTCGCCTAACAAAAATCACATGAACTCATGTTATTTAAACGCCAGTCAGTCAGTATTTCTAGAAAACGTGGCACAGACCAGAAACTGAAAATAAATCTCCTGAACTTTGTATCAACGCCTTTATAACTCAAACATGGCAACGTGATATGAAAGTAAATAAAAAATACTGTAAAAATACTAGTTTCCATAATCCCTTTGATTACATTACTGACTGCAGGTTATTTTAACAAAGCATACGTCTGCTAATATTCTCTACTTTTCTTGAAATAAACCAATCCCATTAAAGAAAAAGACCAAAACAAACACCGAATGTATCCACTAACTGTACTGTGTGTGTATCAGAGGCTGAAAGATCTTCTTCCTCTGTGCCACAGAGCTCCACTGGTGTCCAAATACTGTCACACACAATAGTCCCAAATAAAAGCACTATTTCCTGTTTGAGTAACGTTTGCTAAAAACTACAATGTCCAGCCTTTTTTAAAGGTTTACATCTTCAGCAGAACCAATGTTGGTAGGGAAGTGGGGCAGTACTGAGAGACGTAGGGACACATTGTTGTTGTTGTTGGTCTTTTCATGGGTTTTGTTGACAATAAGAAAAATACAGAATAACAACAGCGACATACCTATAAAAACAAACTACAGTATAAACCTCTCCCACTCAGGACCATCGAGTTATGCGCCCACAGCACCAAATTCAGACTCCAGATCAGAATGGACCAGTCTACTTCCTGGCCCCGCCTAACAACTACTACAACACACCTCTTCCTTGTTTTGCCGACAGCTCGTCCGACGTGAATTTTGTAACCAAAGCGTGAAAAAGGACTGCGTCTGTGACGGACCGGCTCCGGTGCTCGGCTGCGCTCTGACAGCGAAGCTTCACATGAAAAACCTCAACAAGACACCGATAGATACAAACAAGATTATAGTTCAACAACAGCAACAAAAAAAAAAAACAACAACAAAAAAGAAAAGAAAAATAGTCGAAGTCAACAATAACTATGTTAATATTTGAGATGTACGTATGGTCACCAGCCATAACATGTTAATACATATGGTACTTTAAATAATAATACACCTAAATGAGTAAAAGTATCACCTCTGCAAAGAAATTATGAAAAAAAAAGAATAAATAATTGTATCTACTTTAAGTACTGATTCATATGGCAGTGACACAGTCTGACTCTCAGTGAGGAGCTTCAGAAATAAACAACAAAAAGGTGTAACATCAGATTCTCCATTCAGGATTAATTCATGTCACATTCATGCTTTGGTGGAGTCTTCATCTTCGTTCACAAACGCACGGATGACGTCTGATTGGCTCTTATAGACCCAAAGTATAAGAGCAGAAAACACACACACACACACTTGAAACACTGAGTGTGCAGCAATAAAACACACACTTCTATCTGTGTGTGTGTGTGTGTGTGTGTGTGTGTGTACAGATTCAAACTGTAGTTGCAAGCCTCCGTCACTGAGACGGGCCTGTCAGAGGCAGAATAAGGAACCGTAACAGGATTTCTGCATGTTTTCGTCCCCTGAATACAGCTCACACACTGAATGCGTGTATCACTGCTGTACTGTAGTGTTTTTCTACGTTTTAGGTCGCCAGTGGTTTCTACTCTTAGTCCTGAAGCTTGCTTGAGAGGGTGGTTCATCACAGCAGACATCATACCGGTATTTATTTTATGTGCAGATCTTTTTTTTAAAAAGCCTGCGCTGCATCGACCAGGAAGAACTTCTAAAAGTAAACAACAATGTTTCCTGCGATGGATTCACTTTCTCAGGGAAGCGTCAGCTCCGTTCACACTGCAGGACCAAATCTGGCACAAGTCACATCTGAATCAGAGCTTTTCACGTCACTCTAGATCAACATTGGACGTGCAGCTCACTTCAGGACCTCAGTCTGGACTCTGATCTGAGCAGTAAATCAGAATTGAGCACTAAGGCTTGCAGTGTGACGTATGTGAGTTGATTTTATTACTACACATAACTTGTTGACTGACATCGGCCTTATGGGCAAAAAAGATGGCTTTCACAGATGTTTATGTGTTGTGTTGCATCAGTTTTGTGCTGGTTAACTGTTGTGTTGGTTAATTCGAACTTGGATATTGGAGAAATAATCTCCTCTGTTTCCCCAGCACTGATACAGATAGCACAAAGATACCGATGAGACAGAGTCTGCGTCTCACAGAGAAGTAGTCTGAGCTGCAACAAGGCCTAGATGCTCTGAACAATAGGGTGAATAAATAACAAAAAAACATCAGCTGTCGGCCCAGAATTTCCCAATCGGTGCATACCTATTTAATACCATAATAAAATGAGTGGAAACTGTGGACGAACATAAAAAGACCTAAAAAATAGTTGATAGTAAAGTCAAATAAATGGGCTAAAACATGCACAAACACTGGTATGGTCCTTTAACTGTGTGGCTGATGAGTATTTTCAACTCCAACATCCACCATCAGACAAACAGAAATCCTTTAAAGTCAACGAGGGGGCGTCAGGAGCTGTTCGTCTCTTGCCGCGGGATTCAATGCCACCACTCTCTCCAGTCGAGAGCGAGCGTCAGTCTCATCTCCTCTATCTCCTCCAATCCGACTCCAAAACACCAAACTGCTGCTTTTGAGTCTTGAACATTTGGATTTTAGTGTATCACATTATCATATCAAGTGCAGGATACAAAGGAAAGTACTAAAGAATTGCAACAAACTAATGAAGAAACTAAATAATAATAATAATGAGTGACCCTCAATGAAGACCATTCAGGGTCAGGACTCTCAGCACACACGCTCAGTTGAAAGCGGCACAGAGGGGAGCTTCCTAACCAGCTTATTCTCGATATAAACCTATTCTTATAAAGTCTGTATTCCAGACGCAATAAACTGAGGATAAATATTAAGACACAGAATAACCATGAGATTTAGAATTAACAAAAGAAAATAAATTCCATGTAGGCCTGAGCTGACAGAACAGACAGAAGACCAACGTTACACAGTCCCCTGCAGTAACTGACTCCCCAAACGTTGCTCTTCAGTGACTTTACAACGCTGTGCAGAGTGCCTGTGTGTGCACGGACTTCGACGTCTGCCCCGTCGTGACTGTGTTTGGCCAGCAGGTGGAGGTAAGCACTAATGAGACAATCTCGGGGAAAAGTACCCTTCATGGATTGACAGTGTGTGATCTCTCCAATGTTGCAATCCTCTCAGCAACACGGTCCGAGTGGAAACCGAATCGACCTCCTGTTCTTTCTTTTTCAGCCACTCCACATTTCACAATCCTCCTTTCCTCCAAGAAAAAAGATATTTTAGTTGTAACATGCAGCTTAAGCATATCACCCTGCTTTAGAAAAACAACTAAACCCGGTATCTGAACACGCAGACAGATCCCACTGACGATTAACGGCCGCATTAATCTCCCATTTACGTGTGTAAAAATGTTCAATGTTTTGTGCCTACGGAGGCTCTGAATTCAAAGAGTTCATACAGTACATGCTATGGATAAACAATATGTAACTGACCGGTGCCAAATTCACTTCCTCCTACACTTACGCACAACACGATTAGACATGACATCATCTTCCTCTGTCTTCAGCCGATCAAAGGTCCTGCCTCGGATCTCTTTCTCCTTTAAACATCCGCTTCCCCTTCCAGTATCACTTCAGCTTCATTCTTTCTTCTACTACTTTCTGTGTCTTTCTCCTCATCTCCTTCTTCCTCTTCTCCCTCTTCACACTTCTTCTCTCTCTCTCTCTCTCACTATCTCTCTTGGTAAATGCTCGAGCCAACACGTCTTTGTCGTTGGCTGCTAAAATAAAGAATAAGCACGTTGGTTGTAAACTAGCGTGATGGCTACTCGTGGGACGTAAAGCTGGTAGACAGCCAAGGCTTTACAGAATATTACACCATTCATACCTGAAATTCATACATGTTTCTGTACCCTTTGAAAGTAGCATCATTATGTAAACAATAAATACATACAACACAAATAAATGATTTTTTTTTTTTGCCAACCCAATGCTGAGCAAAAGGCTTTCCCGAGCTCTACAATGTCCTCGCCGGACACTCAGTCCTCAGTCAAAACAGGCAAGGAAATCCCAAACTTCCTTCTGCGTCCTTCTAGCTCTGCTTGTCTCGTCTCGTCTTCGGGTCTGAGGTACTGTTATGGATTTGAAAGATGCCACGAGCTGTGGTCGATGTGCGGGGACCAGAGGGTGTCGGAGAGCGTTTAGGGGCCTCAGTCTCACTGGGCCCTGATCCACAGGCCAGCGTCTCCCTTCTGCTGGGGCTGACTGGACAGCAGCACTGCTTCTGGCATCCCCAGTGGAGGGGGGCGCTGTTTACGCACTGTCCAGGCCGTGTTCAATGCTTTTCTCTCTCCTCACCCAGACGCAGGTGACTGTGAGCGTGCTGGCGGAGCAGGAAGTGTGTTTTTCCGACCAGATGGACGGTTCCAATGTGATAGCTTGTGTCAGCCGTGTGATGATCGGCGCTCTTGTGTTTCTTGGATCCCGCCCGATCCTTTGGTTGAGCTCTACCATTGGCTACAGGAAGAGGGGACAGGAGGGCTGGTGACCTCGAGGTGACTTATCGTGAGAGAGCCTCGTGAACCTGCGCTGTCCTACTGCTCTCACTCAGGTCCTCGTTTCATATTGTTGATGTGCGGTCAGCACCGTCTGAGGAGGAACAGCAGAGGGAAGAGACGGCGTTAGTGTTAATCTGAGTGAGAACTTGTTAGTGTTATCACACAAAGATAAAACTGGCAGCCATGAGTCCTTGGGCTCCTAACACCCTCCCTGTTTCCTTGTCTTTCTCCCAGTGCATGCTGGGACAGGCTCCAGCCTTCCTGAATAGGTGTAAGATGGTATAGAGCACTGGTTCCCAACCTTTTCCCTTTAATGGACCCCCCCTTTTTTTTATCATTTAGTGAACTCAGTGACATATTTTATGG